CGCCGCCTCACTTTGCATCTTCCCAAGCATTGGCCCTGGGAAACCCAGTTCAGCAGCGCCCTGGCCCGGCTGCGAGCCATTCCACTCCCCGCCTGACGGCGCTGTCCGCAACCGCCCCAACACCTCCAAACTCGCGTCCGCCCCGCCCGCGAGTGCATCCTGCTGCGTCCGATCTCACTATCACGCGATTCCCAGCCTCCATAGACCGCTCTCCAGGTCCGGTGCGGCTACTGAAAACCCTCGCGGGGTCACATCGGTCCAATGGAGCCCAGGCTTTCTCCCTTGCAGGCTCCCTCATCCCAATTTGCCCAGCATTCACGCCTCCCATCGGTGGATTCGGGGTTAAGAGGTTTCTCATAGGTGACGCTCCTGAAATACTGGGATGCCCAACCGGCCCGCTCAGGCCTCGGCCCGGCGTTCAGAAGCCGATAACAATGCGACTTCCGCCGATTGGCGCGGAATATAGCAGAGGTTTTTATCCCCTACAACCCCGAAACGATACTAGATAGTTTGTGTGTAAATTCACAAATATACGGAAAAAGTGCAGCAAATAACGAATCTCGTAAAAACATTATCCATTTGCCGTAATGGAATCCCGTAGGGCAACTGCAATCAAGAGCCCCCTCGCCTGAGTCCGGGCGAGGGGGCAAACGAAGGGGTGGAGTCGGGCAATTAAACCTGGCGGTGCAATCCGCCTGGCGCAAGCCTGCGCTGGTCAATCCCGTCAATTACTGATCAATAACCGTAGCGCTGCCGTCTGGGTTGATTCTGACGCCAACTACCGGTGCCGCCTCTTTGTTGAACAGGGCTACGGCATCGGAATCAGGCCCGCCGGTCCGCTCCACCCATTTGGGAACGATTCTTTTCAGGACCACCTCGTCGAAGATGTATTCCCATAACTCCGGCGAGAACTCGCTGTATTCGAGGCCCGTATCCACCGCCCTGGGAATCCCGATTTCGCCGAGGATTGGCGAAACCCTGAGAATCTCCAGCTCGAACTTTGCTCCCTCTTCCAGGAGTATCTGCTGGAAGTCGGGCGGCAGGTTGTCGAACTGGTCCTTGTTCATGTACATGAACAGCGGAGTAAATAAGGGGAAGTAGCCGGTCATGTGGTCAACGACTTCGTACCACCTGCCGCCCACAGCTCCTGTCGTGCTGGTCAACCCCCCGTCCAGGATACCCCGCTCCATCGCCACGTATACCTCGGAGAAAGCGACGAACTGGCCGTCGGCTCCCATACCGGCAATCATGTCTGATATTGCGCCTCCGAAGCTGCGGAACTTCTGTCCTTCAAAGTCCTCCAGGGTGCGCATGGGAGTCTTGGTGAAGAAGAAAATGCTCTCGTCCGGCACCGCCCAGAATTGGGCTATGGGGACGGCGCCGCCAGTTTGCTCCTGTATCAGCCGGTTGAGTTCCGGGAGGACAGCGACGGAGACATCGTAATTGGTCTTCGTGTCCGGGTAGAGTCCCCATAGCCAGGGAACTTCCAGGGCCGGCAACTCCCCTGACACGTACGGCGTGGCTATCTCGGCCAGCGCCAGCGTGCCGTTTTCTACGAGATTCATGACGTCCGGTCCGGCTATTCCCAGCTCCGCGTAGCTCACCAGCGAGATTTTCATTTGACCATTGGTGCGCTCAAAGACGTTGGGAGCAAGGACGTGTTCCATGACCTTGCACCGTGGCGTGAACCGTACGATGCAGACCATCTGGAAAGTGAGCTCCTCGCCCTCGGTGACCAGTGGAGTGGGATTGGTCAGCTCCGCCTTTTCCAGGAGCTCCTGGTAATAGTCGGAAGTGAATATCCACTCCCATTTCTCCAGGGCGCTGAGGGGAACATTGCCGTCTTCGTCCCCGTGTTCCGGGTCGTATGATGGGCCCACCAGCTGGTTTAGGTCGCCGACATAGATTGCTCCCGGCCCGCCGGCCAGATCGGCCGCCACGGCTTCCAGGGCGGTTCCCGCTGTCTCCTCCACTTCTTCCATCGCAGCTTCCGTGGCGGTGGGTGCCACGGTCGGGACAACCGTTGGGGCTGCAGTGGGTGGAACGGCCGTGGCCTCGGGCTCTGCGGCGCTCCCGCAGGCTAGGACGAATGAAAACAGTGCCAGTAAAATTACCGGTATTACCCAAGTCCTCATAGTAACCGTGCCTCCCGTTTTGGATGGGGAAGTGACAACGTCCAGAGGATTAATTCGTCCTGCTGAGGTCTTGCAGCGCCTTGGAGCGTTTGAGTTTTACTACCTCCTGACCCTGTGATGAAACAAAGACTCGGCTGCGGCCCCCCTAATTCTGGACTTCGGTTTTGGTCACCGAGCCGTCCGCGTTAATGTGAAGTCCCACCAGCGGCCCGACATTTTCGTTGAACACACCGATGATTTCATGGTCCGTGCTGCCGACACGGTTGACCCATGCAGGAATCACGTATTCAATTACCGAGGAGTTCAGGCTCCTGTCCTCAACTTCGTCGTTGAACTGGTCCAGCGTCATCCCCTTGTCCAGGTTCTTTGCCAAGCCCATTTCATTCTGGATGGATGCAATTCGCAGCGCTTCCAGTTCCGACTTGGCCCCTTCCTCGATCAGGATCTGCTGCAGGTTGGCCGGTATGGTGTCCCACTTTTCGCCGTTGATGATGTTGTTGGTGGACGGGAAGCTGGTCAGCGGACCGGCCAAGTAGTCTGTGACCTCGTACCAGCGCTGGCCGTGGCCTGCGTCGGCCCCCGCGACAGCTGCCTCAAGAATGCCGCGCTCCAAGGCGGTATACACCTCGGCGAACGCAAGGAACTGCGCGTCCCCCCCGATGCCCTCAATCCAGTCCGACAGTGCCGCGCTGTGGCTGCGCGTCTTCAGCCCATCGAAGTCCTCCAGCGTAGCCAGAGGCTCCTTGCTGAAGAAATACAGGTCGTTCCCCGAGAACCAGTTGTGATTGAGCACGAATCCACCCGTGGCGTCGCGCACCAGGGCTTCCAGGTCAGGCGTGATGGCTATCGTGGCCCGGAATTCCGTTTCCCGATCGGGGTAGATCCCCCACAGGTTCTGGATCTCGATGGGCGGCATTTCCCCGCCCACGTACCCACCGTAGATGTTCGCCATCTCCAGCGTGCCGTCGCTGACAAGAGTCAGCGTATCCGGCCCGGCCAGCCCCAGTTCCGGGTATGAGCTGACGTTCAATATCAGCTTCCCGTTTGTACGCTCTTCCAGGTTGGGGGCCAGGTAGGTCTCGATCAAGACGCACGGCAGCAGCGCCCTGTTGATGCACGCGTGCTGAATAGTGACCGGGTCTCCGTCGTAGACCAGTTCGGTCGGATCCAGCAACCTCGCCTTTTCCAGCAGGCTTTCGTAAAAGGTTGACTCGTAGATCCATATGTGCCTCTCCAAGGCGTCCAGCGGCACGTTCCCGTCGAAGTCTCCCTGATCTTCGCTGGGCGCCGGCCCCACCAGTTGGCTCAGGTCTCCCAGGTAAATCGCCCCGGGCCCGCCCGCGTTCTTGGCGGCGTATGCCTCCAGTGTCATTCCCTCAGTCGTTTCCTGCATCGCCGGCTCCGGGGTGTCGGTGGCCGACGGTGCGCTGGTGGCCAGCGCGCTGGTTGCAGGTTCGGCGGTTGGAGCAGGCGCATCCGTAGCACCACAAGCCGCAATCGCCAAAACGAGTAGCAAAGCAAGGGCAAATAATATCCACTTGTGCATTTAAACACTTCTCTATTACGAAATACGTTACAAATTAGATTTTGGAGAATTGTATTGACGTCAATATACAAAGTCAATAGAAATTTTGCACTGTTATTATGGAGTGAAATATTCACGATTCGTGAAAATAAGCGCAATCAAAAAGGGAGTCACCACACTCGGACGCCCGTAACGGCAATCCAGTTCAACCCAACGAATTGCGAAATAATTCGTTACATAAATGTGGGGATACTTACAAATCGTGGGCAGCAAAGTGCTTGGGAGAGAAGGATCTCATGACTTCACGCGCTAGTTGCGGTAAAAGCGTTGTCTGGAAACGAAAGGAATCAGAGACGCCGCAAATAGTCCGCCTTAACCGGACGGGTCACGACCGTGTCCGAGGCACGATTCACAAAAAAGAAAGGACTCGGCGAAGGAAACTGGAAGTGAAAAATCGCCGGCCTCAGTGAGACAGGCGAGGAAATCGAGGCGAAGAAGTCGGGCGCGTCAGCGGGCGGCGAGTGGAGCGGGACCGGCCGTCCCCCCGAAGGCGATGGCGCGGTGCAGCGCCACCACCGAGCGCGCCAGCGATTGCAGGTCCTCAGCGGCCTGCGGATCGGCCAGCAGACCATCCTGGAAGTGACGCGACTGCAGGTACACCACCCCCGGCACCACGTGCGCCCCGAACCACGCCAGCACCGGCCGCAACTGCGCGTCGATGCTGAGGTAGTGGTGGTCGGTCGCTCCCATCCCGATAAGACCGCAGGCCTTGCCCTGCAGCCCCTCCACCGGCACGTGGTCCAGCAGGTTCTTCAGTGCCCCCGTGAAAGACGCCCGGAACACCGGCGTGGCGATCAGGTACATATCGGCGGCCACAACCCGCTCCACCACCGCCTCGGTGTCGTCGTCGTAACCCGACAGCGGACGCCCGTCGGCGAACGAAATCCGGTAATCGCCCAAATGTAATGTGTCCGAGGCCAGGGAGCCGTCTCCTTCCACCCCCGACAGCGCCGCCTCAATCGCCTGGTGCAGCCGCCCCGGACGCGTGACCGTCCCGTGTATCGCAAGCAGCGTTGCCGGCACTTCGGTCATCTCGTCGCCTCCCTGCTCTCTGGGACCGCCGTTACCCCAGACCGCTCCGGAAGAGCCAAGGTACTATCGGCCCGCCCCGGCATTCCGTGCGGCGGTGTAGCGGTTCTCCGGTATCGGCAGCCCCAGGTTGCCCCGCAGCGTATCTGACTCGTACTCCGTCCGGAACACGCCGCGCTCTTTCAGGAGGGGCAGGACCTCGTCCACGAAGTCGTTGAACCCCTGTGGCAGCACCGCCCCGCTCAGCATGAACCCGTCGCACGCCCCCGACTCGAACCAGTCCTGCATCCTGTCCGCCACCTGCTCCGCCGTCCCGATGAACTCGTGGCGACCTGTACTTACCTGCAACGCCATCTCCCGAAGCGACAGCTCCTTCTCCCGCGCCGTTTTCTTGATGCTGTCCGTCGAGCTCTCCCATCCGTTCCGGCCAAAGTCCCCCAGTTCCGGGAACGGCGCGTCCAGGTCATACTGCGTGAAGTCCAGGTCGTTGAAGAACCGGCCCATGTAGTTCAGCGCCTGGTTGATCTCCACCAGCCCCGCGATTTCCAGGTACTTCTCCTCCGCCTCCTCCGGCGTTCGTCCCACGATGGGCGAGCACCCCGGCAGGATCAGCACCTCCCCCGGGTTGCGCCCTGCCGCCGCCGCCCGGCCCTTGACGTCCGCGCTGAACGCCTCAGCGTCCGCCCGCGTCGCCTGCCCCGTAAACACCGCGTCGGCGATGGTCGCCGCGAACCCGCGTCCCGCCTCCGAAGACCCTGCCTGGATCAGCACCGGCCTCCCCTGCGGCGAGCGCGAGATGTTCAGCGGCCCCTGCACCGAGAAGAACTCCCCGACGTGGTCGAGCCGGTGCATCTTGTCCGGATCGATGAACTCCCCTCTGGCCTGGTCCCGGATGAACGCGTCGTTCTCCCATGAATCCCAAAGGCCTTTGGCGATTTCGATGTACTCCGCCGCCATCTTGTAGCGCAGGTCGTGCGCTGGGTGCTCCGGCCTGCTGTAGTTCGCTGCCGAGCCCTCCAGCGGAGACGTCACCACGTTCCAGCCGGCCCGACCGCCGGAAATGTGGTCGATGGACATGAACTGCCGCGCCACGGTGAAGGGATCGCTGTAGGTCGTGGAAAGCGTAGCCGCCAACCCGATGTGCGTCGTCTCCATGGCCAGCGCGGCCAGAAGCGTCAGCGGCTCGAAGCGGTTCAGAAAGTTGGGGTGCGACTTCTCGCTGATGTACAGCCCGTCCCCGAAGAAGGCAAAGTCCAGCTTGGCCTCCTCCGCCCTCCGCGTCAGGTCCCGGTAGTAATCTAGGTTGATAGCGGCGTCGAGCACGGCGGTGGGATGCCGCCACGAGGCCATGTTGGAGCCTGTCCCGGCCAGGAATGTCCCGATGCGCATCATCTGCCGTTCAGCCATAGCCTCTCCGTTCATGCCCGCCATTGGTCTTGGTCGAGGAATTCGTAGGGGCGCACGGCCGTGCGCCTTTTCCATTCTATTTGCCAACACCGCTCAGGGTCCCAATCAGCCCGCCCAGCAGCTCGAACGACCGCAGCCGCTTCTCGAAGCTGTCGATGGCGGTCACCGCGATTATCTCATCCGCCCCGTACTTTCGCTGTACGTCCAGCAGCTGGGTCCTCACCGAATCTGGAGCGCCGTGGACCACCCCCGCCTGACGGACGATAATTTCGTACCCCTCTCCCGACTGCCGCCCGAACTCCTCACCCGCATCCACGCTCCCCACCGTCAGGGTGCGCCCGCTGTCCAGCCTGATCCGCACCACCTGGATCTTCGCCGCATGCTCGGCTGCCTCATCTCCGGTATCCGCAACAATGATCGGCAGCGCCAGCATGGTCCGCGGCTGAGCTCCGTTGCCGTGATCAAACCCCGCTTGGTAGCGACGCACCGCCTCCGCCATCTCGTCCTCGTCGTTGTTCAGGAACAGCGCGAAAACGTACGGCATCGCCAGCTCCGCCGCCATGTCGCCGCTGGAGCGGGTCGTGCCTAGCAGGAACAGGTCCGGCGGCTCCGGGGCCAGCGGGCTGGCCTGCAGGCCAAGCAGCGGGTGCTCCGGCCCGAGCTCATCAGCCAGGAACCGCCGCAACTCGGTCAATTTCTCCGCCAGCGACATCGTCGGCTCGCCGTCCCCCCGCCGCAGCGCTGCCGTCGACCGGGGCAGCCCGCCCGGCCCGCGCCCGATGCCCAGGTCGACACGCCCAGGCGCCAGCGAGGCCAGCACGTTGAAGTTCTCCGCCACCTTGTACGGACTGTAGTGCTGCAGCATCACCCCGCCTGACCCAACGCGGATGTGCGACGTATGGGCCAGCAGGTGCGACACCAGGATTTCGGGCGAAGACCCCATCACCCTGTTCGACCCGTGGTGCTCCGCCACCCAGAACCGGTGGTACCCCCACTCCTCGGCCCTCTGCGCCAGCTCGATCGTGCGGCCAAGGGCGTCGGTGGGCGTCTCCGTCCCGTGTACCGGGCTCTGGTCAAGTATGCTCAGCTTCAAGGTCAGATTGGTCCCTCTCGTCCCCGCTTTGGCGGCAGTTAGCCCGATTCTACAACATCGGTTCCCGGCAGATATATAAGGGGAGGGAGGGCCGCAAAAATAGCCACCCCCCTGTGCTATGATTCGCCGAAACGCCGTCTATGCTCATTCCGATGGCGGGAGAGGTGACCAATGGCACCAAGTGGCAACGAATGGTTGGCATTGACCAGCGAGGAAACCCTGGAACCTGACATCCCCATCTGCGACCCCCACCACCATTTCTGGGTGCAGCGCCCCGAGCCGATCGATTACCAGCAATACCTGCTTGAACACCTTGCCGCAGACATCAATAGCGGCCACAACGTGCGCTCCACGGTGTTCGTCGAGGCCCGCTCCAACTACCGTACCGAGGGCCCCGAGGAGATGCGCTCCGTCGGCGAGGTGGAGTTCGTGCAGGCCATCGCCGACGCCGGGGCCACCGGAAACTATGGCCCAGGCAAACCGGCACACGGCATCGTAGGCCGTGCTGACCTGAAGCTCGGCGACGCCGTCCGTCCCGTGCTGGAGGCCCTGCAGGAGGCCAGCCCCAACCGGTTCCGCGGCATCCGCCACTCTGTCGGCTGGGACCCCAGCCCCGAACTCGACAACCGCGAGGTCGAGGGCTGCCTGCTCCGCGACGACTACCAGGCCGGGGCCCGCGTTCTGGCAGATATGGGCCACGTCCTCGAGAACTCCCTGTACTTCCCGCAGCTCGACGATCTGGCATCATTCGCCAACGCCGTGCCCGAGGTAACCATCGTCCTCAACCACCTCGGCGGCTTCTGCCGCATTGGCCCCTACGCCAATCGCGATGAGGAAGTCATGGCCGAGTGGCGCCGTGGAATCGCCGCCGTCGCCGCCTGCCCCAACATCGTCATGAAGGTCGGCGGCATCGGTATGCCCCGCATCGGCTTCGACTGGCACGAGCGCGAGACCCCCGTGGGCTCCGAGGAGATCGCCAACTCCATCGCTCCCATCGTGAACTATCTCATCGAGCAATTCAGCCCAGCCCGCTGCATGTTCGAGAGCAACTTCCCCGTCGACAAGGTCTCCTTCTCCTACCACGTCCTCTTCAACGCCTTCAAGCGCGTATCCGCAGGCTACTCCGCCTCCGAGCGGGCCGACATGTTCCACAACACCGCCGCTCGCGTATACCGCTTGGACTAATAGCAAGAAAAACCGAGCACACGTATATCAACTCCTTCATCCCAACCCCAATCCCCTCTCCCTCAGGAGGAAGGCTGGTGTGGGGTTGAACCTCACCACCCAACAATCGACAAGGAGCAATAGCATGCCCGAAGTAAGACCCTTCGAGATAACCGTCGACGACGCCACCCTTGAAGACCTCCGCCAGCGCCTCGCTGACACCCGTTGGCCCGACGAAATCCCTGGCTCCGACTGGGACTACGGCAGCAACCTCGCCTACATCAAGGAACTGTGCGAATACTGGCGCACCGGCTTTGACTGGCGGGCGCAGGAAAAGAAGCTCAACGCCTTCAACAACTGCAAGTCCGTGGTTGATGGACTGGACATCCATTTCATTCACGAAAAGGGCAAGGGCCCCAATCCCATCCCGCTCGTAATTACCCACGGCTGGCCCAGCACCTTCTTCGAAAATGTCCAAGATCATTCCGCTCCTGTCCGACCCGGCAGCCCACGGCGGAGACCCCGTCGACGCCTTCGATGTCGTGGCCCCTTCGCTGCCCGGCTTCGGCTTCTCCCAGGCCTCTCGCGATAGGGGCATGGAGATCGGGAAGGTCGCCGACCTGTGGGCCAAGCTGATGAACGAGAACCTGGGCTACGGCAAGTTCGTCGCCGTCGGCGGCGACATCGGCGCGGGTGTCACCTCACGCCTCGCCTACTCCCATGCCGACAAGCTGCACGGCGTCCACCTCACCTCCGTCACCCGCCCGACTCCCTATCTCGGCCCGGACTCTCGCCCCCTGACCGAGGCCGAAATGGCCCATAGCGCCCAGCGCGAGCGCTGGTTCGCCGACGAGGGCGGATACAACCACCTGCAGGGCACCAAGCCCCAGACCCTGTCATACGGCCTCAACGATTCCCCCGCTGGCGTCTGCGCCTGGATCGTCGAGAAGTGGCGCACATGGAGCGACTGCAACGGCGACGTGGAAAGCGTCTACACCAAGGACGAGCTGCTCACCACCGTCACCATCTACTGGGTTACCCAGACCATCGGCTCCTCTGTCCGCATGTACCGGGAGAACCAGACCCACGTCTGGGAGTTGGCTAAGGACGAAAAGGTCCCCGCGCCCGCAGGCATGGCCATGTTCCCCCAGGAAATCGCCCGACCGCCCCGCGAGTGGGCCGAACGCTCCTACAACGTCGGCCGCTGGCAGGAGATGCCCCGCGGCGGCCACTTCGCCGCCATCGAGGAACCTCAGCTCCTCGCCAACGAGGTCAGAGAGTTCTTCCGCCAGTACCGCTAGCTAGACCTCGGCAATGTATACTTCATCGAAGGCGGCCACCCCAGTCGAACCCAATTGAATGAGCGATCAAAGACCCGAACGGGAATCAATCTGGAGCATCGGACGAAAGTGGCTGCCTTGGTATCTCGGCGTGGTATTCGCCATGACCATCGGTTGGACGTCTTTTACAGCATGGTTCGAGGTGACTCGCGGAGAGCACGACGGGCTTTCAGAAATCGCTATTGCGGTCGTGAGGGGCACAGCCTCGGCCGCCCCTCTTATTCCGATTTACGCCCTGATGGCCATTACAGCTTTGGACCTGATAGGAGGCACCGTGGTAACGGCACGTTACTTGAGCGACAAACTCCTGAAACCCCTTCACGAGAAAATACGCAGTGAAGGCCGCGAGGAAGTGCAGCGTCTGTGGGCAACATGGAATCAGCGGCGTCTTGAGGCAGAACAAAACGGAGAGCCCTTCGACGAGCCTCCTCCCGGCTCGGGAGGGGACCAGGAAACGGAAATCACACACTGAACTGTGCTGGCGGCTTGGACGTCGTAGGAGGGGGCTCGATGGTAACGTATCGCTATTTGAGCGACAAACTCCTGAAGCCGCGACACCAGAAATTACCAGAGGAACCTCGGGAGCAAGGCCGAGAGGAACCTTGGAAGGAAGGCTGGAGGGACGGTTGGAAGGCTGGCTGGCGAGAAGCTTGGAAAGAAGGCCGCGACGAAGAGCGTCGCCAGTGGGCCGCCTGGAACCAGCGCCGAGAAGCTGCCGAAAGGAAAGGCGTGCCCTTCAACGAACCTCCCCCCGGCTCCGAGCAAACTCAACACTAAACGATCGAGGAGTGGACCATGCCAGTGACCAGGCTTGAAATCACTTCGCAGAAGCCCTTCGCCGACGGTCAGTCCTTCGGCGACGTCGGCTCCTACACCCAGGTCGACGGCATTGCCCATTTCGCCGTCGACCCCCTGCATCCCGCCAACGAGACTATCGCCGACATCCAACTCGCCCCACGCAACGAACACGGCCTCGTCGAGTTCAGCGCCGACTTCCGAATCCTCCGCCCCGACGACCCGTCCAAGGGCAACCGCCGCCTGCTCCTCGACGTCCTCAATCGCGGCAAGGCCCTCGCCCTCCGCAACATCAACAGCGCGCCCGACATAGCCCCCGACGCGCCCCTGAATCCCGGCAATGGATTCCTGATGCGCCAGGGCTACACCGTAGTCTGGTGCGGCTGGCAGCACGACGTCCCCGACGCCCCGGGCCTGCTGCGAATTTACTCCCCTGAAGCCCAGGAAGACGGCAAGCCAGTCTCCGCCAGGATCGTAGTCACATTCCAGCCCAACGCTGTCGTCCAGTCCCAGTACCTCTCCGACCGGGCCCACCGCGCCTACCCGTCCAACCACCTCGAGGACTGGGAGTCGGTGATGACAGTGCAGGACGACGAGGACGCCCGCGAGCACGTCATCCCGCGAAAGCAGTGGTGGTTCGCGCGCCTCGAGGACGGCCGCCGCATCCCCGACCCCTGCTACGTCCACGTCGAGGGAGGCTTCCAGCCCGGCAAGGTCTATCAGGTCATCTACACGACCACCGGCGCCCCCGTCGTCGGCCTCGGCCTCCTGGCCACCCGCGACATCGCCTCCCATCTGCGATTCGACCAGGCCTCCAACGACACTGGTGCCGGAGAACTGGAGCGCGCCTACGCCTTCGGCGTCTCCCAAAGCGGCCGTTTCCTCCGCTCCCTCCTCTACCACGGCGTCAATCGCGACGAGGCGGGCCGCAGCGTCTTCGACGGCCTCATACCCCCACGTCGCCGGCGGCAAGCGAGGCGAGTTCAACCAGCGTTTCGCCCAGCCCTCCAGCCAGGCCACCCGCAGCATTAACAGCCTGTTCCCCTTCGCCGATTCGGACCAGACCGACTCTGACACCGGCCTCACCGACGGCCTGCTGTCACGCTTGGCCGCACAGGGCGACCCTGCCCAAGGTGATGTACACCTACACCTCCTCCGAGTACTGGGCCGGCCATGGCGCCCTCGTCCACACCGACCTCGAGGGCACCCACGACGTCGACCCCCCCGAAGCCGTCCGCGTCTACGCCTTCGCCGGCGCCCAGCACGCCCTCGGTGGCCTGCCACCCATCGACGTCGACCCAGACGGCTACCGTGGCGCCCACGCCTTCAACTGCATCGAATACCGCTCCCTGCTGCGCGCCGCCCTCGTCAACCTCGACCGCTGGGTCACCGATGGCACGCCCCCACCGCCCAGCCAGCACCCCCGTATCGCCGACGGCACCGCCGTCCCGACCGGCGCCGCCGCTCCCAAACTGGAGGCGCTCCCCGGCGTCAAGCTGCCCCAGCCAGTCCGCAAGTTCACCCGACTCGACTTCGGCCCCGACCCCGGCGTGCCCACCGTAGTCCCCGCCGCCATCGGCCGCGACTTCCCCTGCCTCGTCTCCCAGGTCGACGCCGACGGCAACGAGGTCGCGGGCATCCGCTTGCCCCTCGTCTCGGTCCCCCTGGCCACGCACCTAGGCTGGAACCGTCGCCACGCCGACATCGGCGGCGAGGGCCAGACCCTCTCCACCGGCGGCGCGTCCGGCGGCACCCTGCGCGGCTCGTCCATACCCTTCGCCGCCACCCGCGCCGAACGAGAGGCCTCCGGCGACCCGCGCCCCTCCATCGAGGAGCGCTACGAGTCCCGCCAGGCATTCTTCGACCAGATAGAAGCCGCCGCCCGCCAGCTCGCCGCCGACGGCTACCTGCTCGACGAGGAAGTGCAGCCCCTGGTCGCCCAGGCCGCCGAGCACTACACCGCCATGGCCGGCTCCCTCGCCGAGGCCCAGCCCGTAGCGGATTAGCAACCAACCAAAACCCAATCACCGGAGGACGCGATGAAATACGATGTGATCGTCATAGGCGCCGGTTCCGGCGGTGGTGCCCTCGCCACCCGCTTGGCCGAAGACCCCAACCGCTCGGTGCTGCTGCTGGAAGCCGGCCCCGACTACACTGACCTCGAGCAGACCCCCGACGACCTGAAGTTCGGCTACGCGCCCCGCGCGTCCGAGATGGGCGCGCCCCACAACTGGTCATTCACCGGCAAGGGCAGCGCCTCCCGCTCCGAGGACGTCGTCGTCCCCCGCGGCCGGGTCGTCGGCGGCACCAGCGCCATCAACGGCCAGGTCTTCCTCCGCGGCGTCCCCGAGGACTACGACAGCTGGGCCGAGTGGGGCAACGACGAGTGGTCCTTCGTCAAGTGCCTGCCCTATTTCCGCAAGCTGGAGACAGACACCGACATCGTCGACGACTTCCACGGCTTCGACGGGCCGGTCCCCGTCCGACGCCATAAGCGCGAGGCCTGGCTGCCCCTGCAGGAGGCCTTCCACGTCTCCGCCACCGCCGAGGGCTACGCCGAGGTCTACGACCACAATCACCCCGACTCCACCGGCGTCGGACCGCTGCCCATGAACAACCCCAACGGCGTCCGTATGAGCACCGCCCTGACCTACATCACCAACAACCGACACCGCCTGAATTTCACCATCCGCGGCAACGTCCTCGTCAACCGCATCCTGTTCGACGGCAGCCGCGCCTGCGGTGTCGAGGTCGAGAGCGGCGGCGAGACCTTTACGGTTGACGCGGACCAGGTCGTCCTCTGCGGCGGCGCCGTCGCCTCCCCGCAGATTCTGATGCTCTCCGGCGTCGGCCCAGCCGGACACCTGCAGGAGATGGGCGTGCCGGTGGTCAAGGACCTGCCCGGCGTCGGCCAGAACCTCCGCGACCATCCCCTCTGCGCCGTCCGCGTCAAGACCAAGCCCGACTTCCCCCTCGACGCCGAGGCGCCGCGCATCCAGACCGTCCTGCGCTACACCGCCTCCGGCTCCGACCTGCGCAACGACATGCAGATCCTGCCCTCGTCCTTCTCCACGCCCCTCGGCGGCGACCCCTTCGCCGAGGAGGGCATCCGTTTCACCTGCATTCTCGAGCTGGCCAAGAGCTCCGGTGAGATCAAGCTCCGCTCCACCACGCCCGGCGACAACCCAGACATCAACTGCCGCCACTTGGAGGAGGAGGTCGACCGCCAGCGCATGCGTGAGGCCATCCGCCTGTCCTTCGAGTTCATGGAGCACGAGTCCTTCCAGGACATCGTCGAGGAGGCCATCTCCCCCACCCGCGAGGAGATCGATTCCGATGACGCTCTGGACGCCTGGATGCTGGAGACCGTCGACATCGGCCAGCACCTGTCTGGCACCTGCAAGATGGGTCCCGCCAGCGACCCAATGGCCGTCGTAGACCAGTACGGCCGCGTCCACGGCATCGAGAACCTCCGAGTAGCCGACGCCTCGGTCATGCCCGACGTAATCCGCGCCAACACCAACCTCACCACCATAATGATCGGCGAGCGCGTGGCCGACTACATAATCCAGCAAACCAGTTAGCCCGCAAACCCCTTCGCCACCCACAAAAAGCAGGGGCGGGTCTAAAACCCGCTCCCATTCATTCCCCCAAGAACCGCCCGTCCGCCCGAGAAACGTATGGGCGCACAGCCGCGCGCCCTCGCCCCACAGCAAATACGTAGGGGCGGGTCTCAAACCCGCCCCTGTTCGCTCAAAAGTAAACCGCGCCCTGCACCTTAGTAACTATCTCAAACCTGACCGCAGACCTCCCGTCATTCCCGCGAAAGCGGGAATCCAAGCCCCCGTTTCCTTGCTTATTCCACAGACGGGCCTCGCCGAACGCCTTAGTCTTTACAGCAAAAAACGTAAGGGCGGGTTTGAAACCCGCCCCCATTCGCTCAGCAATAAACCGCGCTCTGAACCTTAGTAACTATCTCAAAACCGACCCCAGACCTCCCGTCTTTCCCGCGAAAGCGGGAATCCAAACCCCCGTTTCCTCGCTTATTCCGCAGACGGGCCTCGCCGAACGCCTTTTGAGATAATTTCTTAGTAGTGCCGCAGCTCCACCACGTTGTCGTCCGGATCATAGATGTACAGCGAGATCCCGTCGCCGTGCGAGCCCCAGCGCTTGCCCGGCCCGACCTGGATCTCCACCCCGATGGCCTCCATGTTCGCCTTCAGCTCATCCATGTCCGTGTAATCGATCACCATGCAGAAGTGGTCCTGGTTCCGCGGCCCGTCCTTGTCCTCCGGCATGTTCTCCGAGGCAAAGAAGTCGATGATCGTGTCCGCGTTCAGCCGCGCCGACGGAAACCTAACCTCGCCCGCGCGCCACTGCTCCACCCGCTCCGCCTGCAGCCCCAGCACCTCGACGTAGAACCGCAGCGACTCCTCAACGTCCCGCGTGCGCAGCACGATATGGTCCATCTCCGTGATCTTCACCAGCGGCTTCGTAACCTGCTCGAATTTGGTCTGCGTAGCCATAACCGTCCTCCGCAAAACTAACATCCAGAAACCCAATGCCAACTATCCGCATTATATGGCCCACCCCTGCGCGTTGTCATCCGGGTCGCGTCGACCGGCGCACTCATTTCCTGTGGGGAATTTGCAAAGAAATTCCTGAGGAAAAACCCTTGGAGCAAAGCTAACGGGAATTCCCTAAGCATTCTCTCCTTTAGAATTTGCAAAGAACAGGCAAAGAAATTCCTGAGGAAAAACCCTTGGAGCAAAGCTGACGGGAATTCCCTAAGCATTCTCTCCTTTAGAATTTGCAAAGAACAGGCAAAGAAATTCTCGATGGAAAACCTTTGGAGCAAAGCTAACGGGAATTCCAGTCACCATCTTTCTCCAACAGTTCTGCAAAGAACAAGCAAAGAAAATTCTCGAGTAAATTGGGACTGACTCAGCAAGAAAAACCCGCAGTCTTCTATTTTGCCCAAAACGGCAAATAGGTCCTATTTTTGGAGCCCACAAAGGGATCTCTAATGGAAATGACTCCCTCAGCAACAGCTTCTCCGAGTAACCTGGAAACGACGGCAACCTGATCGTCCTCAAATCCGAATCTGGCACGGACGGAAGCATTGTTTGTAGGTTGCTTCATTACCCAACGCAGACAAGCGTGCTGATAGCAGGCGCGTATTCTTTCGGACTTATCCATCCTAGAAAAAGGTTTAGGCGCGAACAAAACAGCTACGGTGGAATCACTATCGCCAGAAAACAGAGGCGGCGGAAGTTGGGAAAATTCCACAGCATCTACCACCTTGTCTATGCCGCTGCCGAGTTCCTCGCAAATCCTGAACCTGCGCATCAGCCATGCCAGACCTTCATTACGAGACCTGGACTGCTGGTCTACGAAACGTTCTGGAGGAACAAGCGGCCCACCCGGACTGGTAATTTCTACGCGGTCATCAAATATCTCCACTATTGGCCCAGACCCTGGGACAGTTAGGTCTTGATGAATCAATGCATTGGCCACCAATTCACGTATCGCGATCTCGGGAAATCTGGGAATTGAACGTCGCAAAGCATTCTCTATTACCTCATTTGCGGGTAATAAGGCCATAATAAATTCAATCATGCTTTGAAAACTGATGGCATATCCTTCCGCAAACTCGCGCTCACGTTTAGTTGCCGTGCGGCCCATCCCGTCATACTGGACAACCCGTAAAGCTTTACGGCCCAGCCTGCGGACGCCGCTAAAGTCGCTGAGATTCCTGGCAAGGTACTTCAGCACCTTTGGCTATCTGCGAAGCACCTCGATCGCCAATGCGAGAAGGATGAGGAGCCGGATCCGCAGGATATGATCAAGGTTCTCCTGCCCATGGCCTACAGGCGGAGCATCATCTGGAACGTCTTTTCCTCCGATGCTCCCGCTGAGATCTGAACGCTTTCGGAACCCTGTTGAACGGTCCAGTAGCCCAGGAAATTACCCCGGAATCAGGCATCGCGTCTTAAACGCCGGAGGCCCTATAGGTCGTCATTTGTATGTTGCGTGAGTCGTGCGGATTGGCCAGTCTGTGCGGCAAGCCCGGAGGTGCGTCGTCCGTCATTGGGCAAACCAGACAGGCAAGCGTCCGGTTGTGCCGTGCGGGAGTAGGACACCTCCGGGCCAGTGCCCCGGCCCTCCGAACGGATACCGGGGCTTCGGGCCCGCATCAGCAAGTGGGGAGGACCGCAAGGCAATAGTACTGTCAGCTGGAGGGAACAACAATGACTGTGGCAGCGACTGTTACTGTACCCGGTACTGTACCCGGGAGATCTGGCGGGCTGGTGGTGGGTATAGACGTGGCCAAGACCCGCTTGGACGCATCGGCCGGCGCTGGCGAGGTTCACTCCTTTGCCAATGATGCGGAGGGGATCGCCGCGCTGATGGAATGGCTGGCGGCCCAGGCGGTGGCGCTGGTGGTGTGCGAGCCCACCGGCGGTTACGAGGAACCCATGGTGCGGGGCCTGCGTCAAGGAGGGGTCCCGGTCCACCTGGCCCATCCCAACAAGGTGCGGGCCTTCGCCCGGGCCAGTGGACGCATGGCCAAGACCGACCGCTTGGACGCCCAGGTGCTCTCCCGCTACGGAGAGGTGTTTGCCTCTGCCGGGGCCTCTGAGCCGGAACCGGAGCGGGAGGAACTGCAGGCCTTGCTCCGGCGGCGCCGGCAACTGGTCGACCAGAGGGTGCAGGAACGCAACCGGCTGGACCGGGCCTGGAATCCGGGAGTCCGAGCCTCCACCCAGCGCCACATCGACTGGCTGGACCAGGAGATAGCCGCCCTGGACCGGGAATACCGCGAGGCCCTGGAAAGCAGCGAGGAACTGGCCGCCAAGGCGGAGCTTTACCGCAGCGTCCCCGGAATAGGGGCACTGACTGCTGCCACCCTGGTGGCGGATCTGCCCGAACTGGGCCGGGGTGAAAGCAAGGGATTGTGCTCCCTGGTGGGCTTGGCGCCTTGGTCCAGAGACAGCGGCCAGCAACGGGGATACCGGGCGGTGCGCGGCGGACGCAGCGGGGTGCGCCGCGCCCTGTACATGGCGGCCTTGTCCGTGATCCGGAGCCAAGGGGAACTGGCCCGCTTTTACCAGACCCTGCGAAAACGGGGCAAGGCAGGGAAAGTGGCATTGGTGGCCGTCATGCGCAAACTGCTGCTGCATCTGAACGCCATCGCCCGCCGCGCCACGCCCTGGACGCCCAATCACCACCAACTCTCCCCTCCGGCAAACCCTTGACAAACAACACAGATACTCCCGCGCAGGCGGGAATCCAAACCCCCGTCTAACCCTCGCCCCGGAACCGAGGAGCACTGCCACTCCCATCTCCACCGCCATTCAGACCAATTTTGTGTGCTGAGCAATGAGACGCCATTGCCCTGCCGGAATCAACCGAGGGCAATCGCGTCTTAAACGCCGGAGGCCCTATAAGTCGTCATTCCCGCGCAGGCGGGAATCCAAACCCCGGTTTACCCTCGCACCCGGAACCGAAGGAGGCACTGCCACTCTCATCTCCACCGCCATTAATGCCAATTTTGTGAGCTGAGAAATAAGACGCGTTTGCCCTGCCGGAATCAACCCTTGACACCCGCAATGAGCCCGTGTTTACTAGTGGCGTATTCGCTAGTTGATGGAAGCTGTGGCCCCCCATGGTAGTTTCCGGCATCCAGGCGCCGGCACGAAGGAGCGGACCGGGTTTTCCAGCGGAGAGGTCTCGAGGATATCTATGCCCACGGAACTACTGCGGGCTGAAAATCTCACCAAGTACTTCCCCGTGACCAAGGGGTTGATATTGATGAAGACCGTTGGCTACGTGCAGGCGGTCGATGGCATCAGCTTCACCATCAACGAGGGTGAGACCCTCGGCCTCGTCGGCGAGTCCGGCTGCGGCAAGACCACCACCTCCAAGCTGGTCTTGCGCCTCGAGGAACCCACCGACGGCAACATCTTCCTCGACGGCAGGGACATCAAGGACTTCCGGGGCGCGGAGCTCAAGGATTACCGCACCCAGGTCCAGGCCGTCTTCCAGGATCCCTGGTCCTCCCTCAGCCCCCGCATGCGCGTCCGCGACATCGTCTCCGAGGCCCTCGTCGTCAACCGCGACGTCACAAAGCGGGAACGCGACGACCGCGTGGAAGAGGTGATGACCCAGGTGGGCCTCCAGAAGGCCCAGGCCGACCTCTACCCCCACGAGTTCAGCGGCGGACAGCGCCAGAGGGTCGCCGTCGCCAGCGCCTTGGCCTCCTACCCCAAGCTGATCATCCTCGATGAGCCCGTGTCGGCTCTCGATGTGTCCATCCGCGCCCAGGTGATGAACCTGCTCGTCGACCTGCAGCAGGAGACCGGCGTGGCCTACCTGCTGGTGGCCCACAACCTGGCCACCGTGCGCTACATGGCCCACACCACCGCGGTGATGTACCTCGGCCAGATCGTCGAATACAGCCCCACCGAAGAGCTCTACCAGAACCCCCTGCACCCCTACACGAAGGCCCTCTTCTCGGCGGCCTTGCCCTCTCACCCCGACGACACTCGGGAGGAGATAGTGTTGCAGGGCGAGGTCCCGTCGCCCATCAATCCGCCGTCGGGGTGCCGGTTCCACCCAAGATGCCCCTTCGCCATGGACCGCTGCTCCGTGGAGGAACCCGTCACAAAAGATGTCGGCAGCGGCCATCTGGTAAGCTGCCACCTCTACTAGAAAGCGGCCATGTTCAGATTGTTGAACAGAAAGAAGCCTCTACCAATAAGAGGCTTCTTATTCATTCTGGAGTGGTCCTCTCCACTTCTCCCATCATTTCAGTTTCTACCTTCAAGCCCCGATGATTCGGGGCCTCTTTTTTGCCTCGACGCAGGTCCCGCCCTCTCCGGCCCCAGGCCGCGCCCACATCACGCCACTCGGCGGTCCGCTGGCACACCACATTGGGGATTACACCCAGCGAGATCCCGCAATCTGACGATGACGCCACCAGCCGCCAAATCAAGCTGGCTGCCGCCTGATGACGTCGGTTCCCAAGCCACGGGCAGCTGCTCAGATGCCTTAATCGGTAGGGTTCGGTAGTCCCAAACACTCTTATAGCTGGTCGGATGCCATACTGGGTAGGGTCCGGTAGCCCCAAACACTGTTATTAAGGAAGGAGCATCAATGCGCCCCAACCTGATTCCGGTTCCTGTCAACTTTCTGGCCGTCGCTGTGCTGCTGATGGCAGGCGCGCTCGCTTTGGCCATCGTGGGATGTGGCGGTGGCGAGGAGGACGCTGGAACGTCCGCGCAGACCCCCAGGGCTGGCACCGGAACCACATCGTCTCAGGCCGCCGGTTCCCAGCCGGCCAACACCCCCGTTCCGACTACCGATCCCCAGATGGTCGCCCAGCTGAAAGGCGACATCAATATCGACGGGTCCAGCACGGTCTTCCCGATCACCGAGGCAATGGCCGAGGAGTTCGGCTACGCCACCGACGGCAATGTGAGGATCACCGTTGGCGTCTCTGGCACCGGCGGGGGGTTCAAGAAGTTCTGTGCCGGTGAGATCGTAATCACCGACGCGTCGCGACCTATCAAGCAGACAGAGGCGGACCTCTGCGCTGAGAATGGTATCGAGTATATTGAGCTACCCGTTGCCATCGACGGTCTCAGTGTGATGGTGAACCCCGGCAACGACTTCATCGAGTGCATGACCGTCGACGAACTGAACACCATCTGGGCCCCCGAGGCCGAGGAGGTAATCACCCGGTGGAATCAGGTGCGCCCCGAATGGCCGGACGAGAAGATCGGCCTTTACGCCCCCGGCGTTGACTCCGGGACATTCGACTACTTCACTGAGACCGTGAACGGAGAGTCCCAGGCCTCTCGCGCCGACTTCCTGCCCAGCGAGGACGACAACGTTCTGGTTACCGGCATCTCCAATGACCGGGGTGCCCTGGGATACTTTGGCTATGCCTACTACGCCGAGAACGCCGACCGGCTGAAGTTGGTCGCCATCGACGGCGGCAGCGGCTGTGTGCTGCCCACGGACGAGACCATCAACAATGGCTCGTACGCGCCGCTGTCTCGGCCGCTGTTCATCTACGTCACCTCCGACGCCCTGAACCAGCCCCACATCAAGGCCTTTGTTGAATACTTCCTTGACGGGGCCAACCGTAACCTGATCAGCGAGACCGGCTACATCTCCCTACCCGGCACCGTCTACGCTTTGACCCTGGATAAGTTCCTGGGTGGCGTCACCGGCGCAGCTTTCGGCGGCGACGCCAGGTTGCACGGCACCGTCGAGGAAGTGCTCAAGATGTCCATGGGCTTGATGACTGCCCCGGCGATGATGACTGACCTCTCCTCGCTGAAAGGCGACATCAACATCGACGGGTCCAGCACGGTCTTCCCAATCACCGAGGCAATGGCCGAGGAGTTCGGCTATGCCACCGACGGCAATGTGAGGATCACCGTTGGCGTCTCTGGCACCGGCGGGGGGTTCAAGAAGTTCTGTGCCGGTGAGATCGTGATCTCCGACGCGTCGCGACCCATCAAGCAGTCAGAGGCGGACCTCTGCGCTGAAAACGGCGTCGAGTATATTGAGCTGCCCGTTGCCATCGACGGTCTCAGCGTGATGGTGAACCCCGGCAACGACTTCATCGAGTGCATGACCGTCGACGAACTGAACACCATCTGGGCCCCCGAGGCCGAGGAGGTAGTCACCCGGTGGAACCAGGTGCGCCCCGAATGGCCGGACGAGAAGATTGGTCTGTACGCCCCCGGCGTTGACTCCGGGACTTTCGACTACTTCACGGAGACCGTGAACGGAGAGTCCCAGGCCTCCCGTGCCGACTTCCTGCCCAGCGAGGACGACAACGTCCTTGTCACCGGCATCAGTAACGACCGGGGTGCGCTGGGCTACTTCGGCTATGCCTACTACGCCGAGAACGCCGACCGGCTGAAGTTGGTTGCCATCGACGGCGGCAGCGGCTGTGTGCTGCCCACGGACGAGACCATCAACAACGGCTCGTACGCGCCGCTGTCTCGGCCGCTGTTCATCTACGTCACCTCCGACGCTCTGAACCAGCCCCACATCATGGCCTTCGTTGAATACTTCCTCGACGAGGCCAACCGTGACCTGATCAGCGAGACCGGCTACATCCCTTTCCCTAGCACCGTCTACGGCTTGGTTCTGGCCAAGTTCCGGAACGGCACAACTGGCGCTGTTTTTGGTGGCGACGCCAGATTGCATGGCACAGTCGAGGAAGTGCTCCAGGCCTCCCAGTAATCCAACAGCCCTTCAGGCAAGGCGCCCATGGTTGGCGGGGACCGAGGCCGCTTGCTTCTCTCTCCCACGAATCCATCACTCGCAAGGTCCGGGCCGCCACAAGTCGCTCTGGTTTTTTGACGCCTGTCCCCAGCCCGGCTACACTTGCCCCCATCAGCTAAAGGCACAGGAGGCCTGAACTATGAGCATCGCTCGCCTTTACACCGGCGACGACGGCCAATCTCACATTGAGGAAATGAGCGCCGATTCACACCCGGAGCTTGCCAGCCTTCAGTCCACCACTGGGATCGTTTTTCGAACTTTCGAACCCGGCTATTTCAGCGATTGGCACACTGCGCCGAGACGTCAGTTTGTCATCACTCTCGAAGGAGAGGTGGAGATCGGCTTGGGCGACGGTACGCTGCATCGGTTCGGACCTGGGCACGCCATGCTTGCCGAAGATCTGAGCGGCAAGGGACACACCACCCGCGCCGTAGGCGACAAGCCTCGCGTGACCGCCACCGTCCCCCTGTCAGGCTAGACAATGTGAAAACGGCGATGCGGCCCATCACGAACATGAATTGGAGGGAGCCATGCCAGTAGTGGCGCATGACCCCGCCCTCGAGCGGATCATCTCAACCTCTCAACCCATCAACGAGCTCGCGGGCGGCTTCGGAGGCGAACAGGGACCAGCTGAGGGCCCGGTGTGGTGGCAGGAGGGCAACTACCTCCTGTTCAGCGACATCCATAACAACAGGCGGATGAAGTGGACAGAGAGCGAGGGCGTATCGCTCTTTAGTGAGCCCACCAACCGAGCCAACGGCCTTACTCGTGACCCGCAGGGTCGCCTCGTCGCGGCCGAGCACGACGGTCGTCGAGTGTCGCGGGTGGAGCCTGACAGCAGCATCACCGTGATCGCTAACAGCTTCCAGGGACGCCCGCTGAACCGACCCAACGACGTGGTCGTCAAGTCCGACGGCGCCGTATACTTCACCGACCCCAACGCCGGCATGCCTGTACAGACTCAGTTCGACCAGAACTTTCCCGGCGTTTACCGAGTTTCCCCTGATCTTGGGAATATCACCCTGCTCGTGCGCGACTATGTCGGTCGAACGGTCTCGCCTTTTCGCCCGACGAAAGCGTGCTATACGTAATTGACTCTCGCCGCGGTCATCTGCGGGCCTTCGACGTGCTGCCCAACGGGACACTGGCGCTGGCCACCAGTCGCATCTTCAGCCACAACCTGGGCGAGCGTCCTGGAATTCCTGATGGTATGAAGGTGGATATCGAGGGCAACGTCTACGTGGGTGGATCCGGCGGTGTCTGGATCATTGACCCGTCAGGCAAGCACCTTGGCACCATCGACACGGGCGCTCCGCTTCACACTAACATGTGCTTCGGCGGTGGCGACTGGAAGACACTGTTCTTTACTAGTTGGGACAGGTTGTGGTCAGTAAAAATCAACGTTCCCGGCATACCGGTTCCTACGCCCAAACCATAAGCGGTTTGGGGCGGGGACAGCGGATATATTCGCTGTTATCTCATACGGAGAATCTGGAGGAGCCTAGATGGAATTTGGACTATTCATGATGCCGCTACACCCCCCGCGGCGCTCGCCCTCTGAGTCCTACGACCGCGATATCGAGTTGATCGTGCAGGCTGACAGGCTGGGCGTGCATGAGGCGTGGGTCGGCGAGCACATCACTGAGACGTGGGAGAACGCTCCGGTGCCGGAGTTGATCATCGCCCAGGCGCTGGCCTTGACTAAGGACATCATCCTGGCCACCGGTGTGACGATGCTACCGCTGCACCATCCTGTGGACACTGCCCACCGCATCGCCATGCTGGACCACATGGCCCGGGGACGTCTCTATTGGGGTATAGGCCTGCGCTCGCTGCCAACAGACCTGCAGCTTTATGGCGTGGAATACGACAGCATGGACGATGTCCGGGAGCGGGGCCGCGAGGCGCTGGAAGTTGTGCTGGGCCTGTGGGAAAACGCTGACAGCGGCAAGTTCGGTTACGAGGGCAAGCACTTCCAGGTTCACGCCCCTGAGGAGATGGCCGAACTGGGCCGCCGCCTTTACTTCAAGCCCTATCAGGACCCTCACCCACCCATCGGGGTCGCTGCTTCTTCGCCCAACACCGAGACCATCCGCATGGCCGGAGCTCGGGGATGGATTCCCATGACCAACCTGCCCAACCGCTACATACCCGACCTGTGGCACTCCTGCGAAGAGGGGGCTGCCAGTGCGGGCCGCGTGGCTGACCGGAGCGAACTGCGGCTCGGACGCGACATCTACGTGGGCGAGACCCCTGAGTCGGCACGGGAGGAGGCCCGCATAGTGCTGGGCATGCCTTTCGAAGATCACCAGTGGAAGAACCGTAGGGCCGGTGGCATCCTGGGTCAACTCAAGGACGACCCGAACATGGCCGACGAGGATGTGACCATAGACTACATGATGGAAAACATCTGGATCGTAGGGGACCCGTCGGAGGTTGCCGACAAGATCGAGCAGACCTACGAAGAGACTGGTGGCTTCGGCACCCTGCTGGGCATCACCCAGGACCCCGACGACCACTCGCTGGTCCAGCGCTCCCAGCGGTTGCTGATGGAGCAGGTGGCCCCCAAGGTGGCCCACCTTAACTAGCCCGCACCGCGGAGAGAAATATGACCACCCTTAATGATCGTTTCCAGAAAGGGCTGGAAACCCGGTCCAGGTTTGTCGGTGGCGGGCCTATCGGGAGCGGTTCCGTGCCTGCCTCCCAGGATGTTGCACCCGACCTGCACCGCATCGCCATGGAAGCGCTTTTCGGTACCATCTGGCAGCGGCCTGCTCTTCCCATTCACCGCAGGGAAATGATCACGCTCTCGGCCCTGACGGTGCTCCAGCGGGAGAACCAGTTGGTCCGCCACGTGGCCAATGCCCTGAACTTGGGCCTCTCGCCTCAGCAGGTCATCGAAGTAATGATCCACGCCTCTTGGTACGGCGGAGTGCCCACAGCATTCAACGCCATGGGGGTGGCAAAAGGAGTGTTCGACGGCCTTGGAATCGATTTCCAGCCGCAGCTGGTTTTTGATCCGGAGGAAACACCTGAGGACCTGTTCAACCGTGGCGCGGCCCGACGCGAGGAGTTGATGGGCCCGGCGGACCCGAATCGCCCCGGCCCGGTGACCCAGGCGGAGCAGGACTTCAACCGTCTCAGCACCGAGTACTACTGGGGTTCTGTCTGGAACCGTCCCGGCTTGGAACTTGACGACCGCTCCATATGCACCCTTGCCTGTTTGAGCGTGTTGGGGCGCGAGGGACCGCTGCGCAGCCACATCAGCGGAGCGCTTCACATTGGCCTCACTCCCGAGGAAATCGTCGAGGTATTCATACAGGCCACCTTTTACGGCGGCATACCCTTCACCCGGGCCGCCATAGACGCCGCCAACGAAATCTTCCGGGCCAAGGGCCTCGGCTAATCCGCCAAAGCAACTCGAGTCGCTTTTGTAGGGGCGGGTCGCAAACCCGCCCCTCGGAATTTTGAGTATGGATCAGAGTGAGGCGAAGAACATCGCTGCAACGGTCGACCTTGAAGAGTTCAGGTTTGACTGGCAGGTGTTGCCCGCTATCACCGCGGACATTCCGGGTACGGGCGGCAAGACCCGCGTTTGCCTCGAGGATTTTGTCGTCTGCGAAATACCTCGTTCGCACCCCAGCGGCGAGGGCGATTTCGCTTACGCCTATGTTGAGAAACGTGGACTAAACACTCACGATCTGGTTGCTGCTCTCCGCGAGGCGGGAATCCCCTACAACGATGTCGGAGTTGCCGGGCTGAAGGACCGGTATGCTGTCACTCGTCAGTGGCTCAGCGTCCCAGTCCAGCACGCTGCCAAGCTGGAGGCGCTGGGCGGCCTGGACGGTGTGCGCGTCCTGGAGATCGTGCGCCACGAGGCCAGACTGCGGCGGGGCCACCTGCGCGGCAACCGCTTTGTGGTGATGGTACGGCAACCGGACCCGGACTGGCAGCAGCATGCTCAGGCCGTGGTGGATCGAATCCAGACGTTGGGTCTCCCCAACTACTTCGGCC